AATACTTAGCAGAGAACATATAGAGGACTCTAGTGCGTGCACTACTAGTTTTGTCTGTCTCATGCTGAATATTAATCACACAGTACCTATGCCTGGTCCCTTCCAGAAACTTGGATTAGCCTACCTGAAGCTCTGCTACTCTGTTTTTGAGTGCCAAACTCAATGGGCTTTTTCCTGTCCTTTTCTCCTTGCAGCTGGGTGGAACTGAAGACTCAGGGCATCCAGGTTGAAGCACGTTGCTGTAGCCCTCAATACACTTTCACTAGTGAAGTTCAGAAAGGAGCATTTTGAACCATAGAATATTGTATCTGTTCTAATCTGCTTTCAGAGGATCTTTCTTCAGTTATGCAGTCTCTTACCATCTTGCATCCAACATTGTGAACTTGCTGTTGGAAAGGAACTCCATAACTGGACAGCAAAGGAACAACTGAGCTTTACTTTTAGGCAAATATCTTTCTCGGGCATATCTTTGACCGTGCAGTTCTTGAGGTCAGTGGTACTTGCCATTTAACACAAATACTACAAACTGTCCAAGACTGAAGTAGCATTTCATCCTTGCCTCCAATGTCTTGGAAGTAAATACATAAACCATAAAATAAAGGCATATGGCACATGCTTATCTGTGCATGAATACCACGGACTCTTCTTCTTAAAATGGGAAGTCATTATGCGTGACTGTAAAATGTAGTCAGATGAGCTGGATAATCCGAGTTTGTTGCCCGGAAACCTAGGATTCATGCCAGATGACTTTGCATTTTCACTTCTGCCTGTCGGTTCAAGGCCTTAAATTTGAATGATTCAGAACAATTTGCTAGTTATCTAAGCCTACTGTTAACAAATGGAACAAGCATATCTTTCATTTTTAAAAAAGCCAGAATCCGAGAAGGATGGAGTCGTGCATCAAGTGCTATGGAAGGGCTGACAAATACAGGCTTTTGTTTCCAAACAAAAAGAGCTGGACTAATGGTCACGCTGCTGCTCTGGTTTTGAGACCATTCAGAAAAGAGCTGCATAGTGTTTTCTCATGCTGCCATAAGCTTCAGCTTTGGGAGTGATGAGAGCCTGTCGAGGGGAAGCCCAGTAAACGCATGGCAAATGTGCCTTTGCCCCAGTGGTGTGATGCTTCTGGGTGAAGAGGCAGTCGTGAAGGAGTCAGGGAGAGGAGGAGGTGCAAAGGAAGATGGCAGAGGCTGGTCTTCGTAAGACAGCAGTCTGTAATGAGGCAGGGGAGATGATGGGGATTGGAGCAGAGCAACGGGGCTGATGCCAGTTTGCTACACAAATGCAGAACGTGTCCACAGAGTCTTTTTCTAGGTATAAGGGAAGAGATGGGGACTGGGACAATGGAGGTTTTGGGCTGTGACTTCAGTGTGTCAACTATCTTGCATCTTGCTGGATGTCTTGTAGGCCTCAGGGTAAAGACATCTCAAGGATTAATAGAATACTGCTGATGGAATTTCCAGAATTTCAGGAAAGGAATTCATAAGTCCTCTGACACCTGTAAAATTTCAAATGAGTAAAGCCAAGTGGTATAAACCAATGTAAGAAGCATTGGTCACTCCTTACTAAACCAGATGTTTCTTTGTTGTTTCTTTCCCTGCCTGGCACCAGTGGAAGGGTGCTACGAGGTGTATGGAACAGAAGTAAGTGAAGTCAAATGGGCTTTGCAGAAATCTTACACAAGCTGGCATTTGTTAAGGCCTATGGAAAAGGTGTTGCAGCAGCTTAGAGGAGCTTAGATAAATTTAAGTTGTATTAGTAGATAGATAATTTCTGCTTCTACATAATACAGAATTCAGAGGACTGAAAGAGCCTGGCCATGAAACCACAAAGCTTTGAGTAGACCAAGGCATCCAGGACTTTGTCTTGAGAGACCCAGTGGCATTGTCCACAGAGATAAATATGAAGAGCAGGTTATTGAGCTGTTGGGTTTGAGTTGACAGGATGTCTACAAAACCACATTGGACATGCCAGAGCTTTATATCTCAATTGTGAAGGATAGACCTGGAGAAAAGCGGATGATCTGAGGTTATCTGCTGTGTAGCAAGAGGGAAGAGAGGAGGCAGTGAGGGCAGAGCTCTGCACCGTTTCTACAGGCTGCTGAGGGTAGGGGAAGGATCATGGCAAGGGTGCAGCAAGTAGAGCTGAGAGTTGTGAGATGGCAGCCACTAAGGACGTGTTTTTGAGAGAATGGACTCGCTTAGTTCAGTTAAAAGCAGTCAGCAGCTCAGAAGGAAGCGCAGCACCCACACCCAAGGGCTGTCTTGGCTGCTGGCCTAGGTGAGAGTTCTGGAGGGAAGACATTCCCGTTGGTGACTGTAGACAGTCCATTCAGTGAGCATGGTTTAGTGGTGCAGAAGACAGTATGGATTCAGAAGAAGTACTTGGCAAATTAGCAGTCCTCAGCAATTCCAGGAGATCAGGAGTCCCCTGTGAGTTCAGTGCCCTGCAGTGGAGGGGAGACAGGTCCCAGCTATGATGTAGCAGTATAAGGTTGATGCTGGTTTCTTGCTGGTGAGGAAGAGCTACCTCTAGTGGGACGTACGGTATAATTACAGTCAACTCTGCTTTGTTAACTCTGTTTCTGAAACAATCTTGTTACTGGTTAGCTCATCCCTGCAGGATTTCTGTTTCAGTTTTAAAGATGAGCCTTTCTTGAAGTTTTCTTTCTTGAGGACTTACCTAGAGGCTGAAGTAGCAATTTTGGACAAGTTCAATGGTGTTGCTACTGAGCAGAAACAGTTAAAGTCTGAATTTATAAGAAGGGTTGCAAGGGAAAGCTGATCTTTAAATACAGCATTCTCTGTTTTCTGTGGCTGTTTGGTGCTTTTCATTGGCTTTGTCTTACTGTGTGTCACAAATTTCTGATGTGACGCCTGTGTAGACAACATGCACATCCAGAATGATGGTTTGTATTATGGTTTCCAGTTGCTGAAGCAGTTCTTTTCAGAAGACAGGTTTTATTTATGTGCTGATATGTCGTATGCATTCCTAGTGTTAATAATCACATAGGATTTTACTGTAATGATAGGTGGCATTAGAAGCAGTTTTCCTGGGTAAAATGTTTAATAGCATCAAAATATTTATACAAAACTTAATTCTCTCTTGATTAATGCAAACACAAGTTAACTGGTTAATATTAGGACCAGAGTCTCGTCTTGTTAAATATCTACAAATGTAAGTGGAGCTGTTCCCCTTGCATTGATTAATGATTCCAGTCCAAATTTCCTCTAAAATTCTCTATTGGCTTTTTCAATGAATGTGCATCTGTGCATGACTGTAACATTTCAGATACTTTAAATCTGTTTAAAATTTGTTCACCACAATTAATTTAAAATTCCTTAGGAACTGATGCTGGATTTAAGTTAAGTGTGCTTACTATCAAAAGTTGAATGTAATGAATTAGAGATTAGACAAATTTGCAGTGCATTTTGTTACCTAACTGCTTGTCTAACTAGATCTTACATCCTGTCTCTGCAGGGGTAATGTTATGTATAAATGTCCACCTTGAATATAACCTCACATTAGGTAGAAAATACCATCTTTCCAGCAGCTGGAGAGAATTAGAGATTGAATCTCATGGTGAAAAACTTGTACTTGTGATTACTAGAAGATGTTGATGACCTGTTATGGCCAGCAGGTCAAGGCAGGTGATTCTGCCCCTCTACTCTGGTCTCATGAGACCCCACCTGCAGTGCTGCCTCCAGTTCTGGGGCCACGAACGTCAGAAGGACATGGATCTACTGGAGCAAGTCCAGAGGAGGCTATGAGGATGATCAGAGGGCTGGAGCACCTCTCCTATGAGGACAGGCAGAGGGAGTTGGGGCTGTTCAGCCTGGAGAAGAAAAGGCTCTGAGGAGATCTTATAGCGGCCTTCCAGTACCTGAAGGGGCTACAGGAAGGGTGGGGAGGGACTTTGTACAAGGGCAGGGAGTGACAGAACAAGGGGTGATGGCTTTAAACTGGAAGATGGTAGGTTTAGATGAGATATTAGGAAGAAATTCTTTCCTGTGAGGGTGGTGAGACACTGGAACAGGTTACCCAGAGAAGCTGTGGCTGCTCCCTCCCTGGAAGTGTTCAAGGCCAGGTTGGATGAGGCTTTGCGCAACCTGGTCTGGTGGAAGGTGTCCCTGCTGATGGCAGGGGGGTTGGAACTGGATGATCTTTAAGGTCCCTTCCAACCCAAACCATCCTATGATTCTATGAAAGACAGAAAGAGTTCAAGCTGTTGTATTTTATACCAGCTTCAGCCCTTTCCCTAAACAATGGGGACCGTGTAAGGGCTGACTTCTCAGCACTGCTTTAACACCAGACCATCCTGATGCCATGTGTTGGTTTCCATTTAGGAGTTATCTAAAAATAATTACCCTTAAATATTACAACCACACTCACACCCTTTACAGTCACTGTCTGCCAGGCACTCTGAACAGACGTGTGTGTTTGCGGGCAGATGCAGCGCTGTAAAGGGTCTATTCATTAACCTCCTGACAGCTAATGGAGAGCAGGAGAGATTTTGCCGGTGTTTAGAGCATTTTAGTTGCTGTGAACAGTGGTGACACATTTGGGAGGGAGAGTTATGTGATACTGTCCTCTTCTTCCAGACAGCCTTTCTGATAGCTGCTTTGGTTGCCTTTCCTATTTGTTGTTTCCCAGTTTAATGCTGCCTCTCTCAATCTCAGCTCCAGCAATGCAGTTCTGAATATGCAATGAAAACATTATCAGGACTGTGGTAACTTTATTCTGCCTGTGGGTTTGGTTTTTGGGGTTTTTTTGGCAAGACTCTAAGCAGCAGCAAGGTTACTGGAGCTGTCTGAAAAGAGATTTTGCTTCCTTGCATATCCACAGTAACCACAAAAGTGGGTTTTACTAAAAGCATTTAAATAAATTTATAAGGAATTTAATAGGCTTATGGGGAATTTAATAGACTTATAGGGGATGATGGTAACTGGCTGACGTTTTGCATATAGGTAGGGCCTAATCTGAATTTTTTCTCCCTTCAGTTCTTTCCATACATCCTTCTGCTCGTCGCTATCCTGTTGTATCTACCATGTTTGTTCTGGCGCTTCACTGCAGCACCTCATCTTTCTTCAGACCTAAAATTTATTATGGAAGAACTTGACAAAGCCTATAACAGGGCAATCAAAGCTGCTAATAGCATCCGCAGTGGAGAACCCAGGGACCCTACTGACCTGGTTCCAGCTGTTAATGAGAACTTGACACAGAGGTAAGATGCTGGGGCTTGGCTTTCTTTGCTCTTTTCCTTAAGCTCTTAACAGATGTGACACCTGCACTCTCTTAGACTTTCTTGCAAAGGTTTGAATGGTGACCTGACACTTTTAAGTTGGGTTAAAAGAAAGAAGATATCTGAAATCATTACTGTGGGCACTTGGAGATGGAACTTATAACTTTCTTTTTTGAAAGAAAACATTTGATGAGCTCTTCAGATTACTAATTACCTGAGATGTCTTGATATCTTTAGTTGTAGTAGGTGTTAATTAGTTTTACCCACCACGGCATAAGAAAACAGGATGGCTGCAGTCCTCAGTTCTCAATACTCGACAGTCGCTTGCACGCTGTGAGCAAAGTCTGTTACTTGTCTCCTGTCCTTTCCGATCTAAGTCTGCAAAGCTTCTGTTTAAAGAAAAAAAACAAAACCAAAAAAAACCCAAACAAACACCAACAGAAAACACCAAAACCAAAAAAACTAAAACCCCCCTCTCTGATCAAATTGTTGCACTGTTCTAACCAGATCCAGTTTCTGCTTCCTCCTAGGTCAGGGTACCTGTTTCTCTTTGCACGTGGGGACACAAGCAATGAAATGGGGACTTAGATCTGTTCTTTAACACGTGGAGTTCGGTCTTGACAAGTAAAAAGCCTTCCAGTGTGCTATTATGGAACAAGTTGTTGGGAAGTCTGCTTTTCCTCATGGTTTTGTTTACCATACCTGTTTTGTATTGGAAAAGAACAATTTTTTTCTTTTTCTGTGATGGCAATACTTTTTTCCATTTTCCAGTGTTTGAGCTCTTCTGTCTCTTAAGTTGCTGTTCTATATTAGAGTGTCAGTCTTAATAGTCTTAATTCATCTGCTATTCTGTTGTTTTTCTATTGACTTCAATAAAACTACCCTTGATTTACCCCAGTAAGAGGGAATCCAATCTTGTGTCTATTTGAGACTACTAGGTTTCTTTGAAATTTGAAATAGGTGCATGCTGCAGCATCTAATCTATGTGACTTGTGGTTTGTTTTCTCTCTCTTTCAGTTTGTGGGAAATATCTGAAAGCCACTTTAAATACCCAATAGTGGAGCAGTACCTGAAGACAAAGAAGAATTCCAAATGCCTGATAACTAAATACATTATCTGCCGTTTACTCACGCTACTAATTATTTTAATTGCATGCCTTTACCTGGGCTACTACATTAGCCTCTCCTCTTTGACTGATGAGTTTCTCTGCACTATCAAAACTGGCATCTTAAAGAATGACACAACTGTTCCAGAAGTGATTCAGTGCAAGCTTATTGCTGTTGGTGTCTTCAAGGTACTCAGCTATATTAACCTGCTAGTCTATCTTCTAGTGATGCCGCTGGTAGTGTATGCAATGTTTGTTCCGTGGAGGTGGAATTCGGGTATCCTCAAAGTGTATGAAATCCTGCCAACTTTTGATGTTCTGAAACTCAAGTCAAAGTGTTATGATGACTTAAGCCTGTACCTCCTCTTTCTCGAGGAAAATGTGAGTGAACTTAAATCATTTAAATGCCTCAAAGTGCTGGAGAACATTGCAGTTTCTGAGAAGTTTGATGTTATGCAACTTTTGGTAAACCTTGGTACTATTAAGACAGATACCGTGGATGGGAATCCAGGCACAGCTGTGTTGGAGAAGCCTGAAGAAAGAACTAGACAAGAGCTGGAAAAAAATGCAACAGAACTACAAGGTAAGGTGACCTGCTCTTTCTTTAAAAAGAAAAATCAAAGAAAGAAACACCACAAAAACACCACGTCCAAACTTGCTGGTATAAAGAGATAAGGAATCCATTAAACCAAAACTTCATTCATGCAAAACAAAGCAGGTTTCATCTAAATGTGTATTCCTAACAAAAAAAAAAAAAAAACTCTACAGTAAAATGGACCTGTTTACACCTTGCTATGTTGTCTGCAGTATAACTGCTGTCACTTCACATATGTGCCAGAAGGTTGTGGTGTTGCAAGCCAGTGGCACGGGCTGGACACTGAAGTGTCTGTTAAGTTGGTGGTCCTTGCTGATATCTCTACTCTGTCAGTAAGAGGCTTCAGCTGTCAGAACTTGAACTCCTTGAGACCATCTGCACAGTAGAAGAGCACTAGATTGGTTTACAGTAGGGTTGCATTTGAAGAAGCTCCAGTGAGAAAGCTGGTGATTTCAAGACATTTGTTTTTCAGAGATTAGTTCAAAAGAGTAGTAACTGCTGCTTCTGCTTTTCATTCAAGCGTGGCAGAAATCTTAGATGAATGTAAAAATAAGTCTGATGCTCAGAAATGGCACTGGTAGAGGAACAGAAAATGACAAAAGGGAAGCGCAATGAGGCCAGGGAACATGCTCCTGTTCCTTCTTATGCAGAGAGAAAGGAAGATGGACTGTAAAGTGATTTTTGCCACAATCCTCTGAGTCAATCTGGATTGGTGCAGCTGTTCTCTGAATATTCCCACCAGTTCCCAGACATGATCAGCTCTGAGCAATCGCTGTTATACGAGATGTAGTCTTAGATTCTGTGCAAAAAAGTGTGACAATCTTAAATGTGATTCCAATGCCATCTTAAAGTGCAGAATTAGAGGAGAGAAGCCAAATATCCAGGGAGAGGCATAAACGAATGGAAAAACTTTCTTCCCATTTGATGTGAGCGTGGCTGCTGTCGCAGCTATCCCCACAGAAGCAGCAGGACACCAGTGCCTGCATCCCCTGAGTGAAGGAGTCTAGACTCTATGGGCTGCCTCTTCACAAAGTCCTTCATTCATGGAAGTGAAGATGCTTTAAAACATTTAGCAGCTGACCTGAGCAGGTGAGCACAGTGCTGAGGGCAAGTTAAAGAACTGCTTCAAAGGCAAGAAAAAATTAAATTGACTTTCTCTTCAGAAAGGTATGCCCTATGCTTAATAAAAAAGAAGCAGCAGCACCCAGAGGGTAACTGTTCCTCTGTACTTTGGTCAAGCAGTTCTGGTAGGCTGAGGTTTGGAGAAGTCAATTTATACAATAGGGAATCCAGAACAAAGAAGCAGAATTATTTTCAAACTAGAAGCAGCACTTCTGGCAGCCTGATCTAGTACAGTAGTTTGGAGTAATTCTGACAGAAAATAGTTTTCCTCTTAAATGTGTCCCTTTTTGAAATTGCAGGTGGATGGGTTTTGGTAAGAGGATTTAAGAGCTCAAGGTGGAGGTCTCTACTCAAGGAGCTGAAAAAGCTAATAGCAAATCTGACTCATTTTTATCTCAAAGCAGAACTTTTGAGACTGTTTTCATCTCACAAAAACACTTCAAAGATTTGTTTCCTCCAGAGCAGAACAAAAACTCATGCTTGAAACTCTGTTAAAACGTAGAAAGAAGCTGCCACTTCATTATCAGCTCTGGCTGGTGCAGCCCTCTCCTGCCTGGCTGCAGCTGCAGACTTCACCACCCATCAGCAAAGTTTAACTCAAGGCTTATTGTCTTTTCTTCTGTCAGTAGTGGATTGGCATGTTTTAATAAGTAACCATGTGAACAAACCAGTTGTAGATGCTGGCTCTGGACTGTAAGAGCATCCTGCCACGCTGTGTGCCGCATCCAGACTGTGCAGGGCATCCAGCAGCTCTGGCATGGTGCGGGACAGCCCACCTCATGGCACTCTCTTGGTGGCAGTTCCTATGTAAACAAGAATCTGTTGAGTGGTTTAATGGCACTTTCACTTCTAAAGGTTTACTTTCTCTTTAGTTTTGACAGACCATGATGCAGGTGGCGACGTGAGTCCGAGAGAAGATAAAAAACTTCGCCAAAGACTTCTCGATTCTTCGTGCTGATGCCTCCCCAATGCAGCAGGCAGGGGCTTCCTACTGCTGGAGGGCTTCTCCTCCGCCTTCTCTGTGCTCAACACAAGGTGCTGCTCTTTGAATGCAACTGTCACGATAGCCTGACAATTCCTCAGAGCCCAAACTGGTTTACAGACTACTTGTATAATAATCAGCAATCAGGTACCTGAAAATATATGTCATAGACTTTCATTATTTATTAAAAAGAAAACTCACACAAGGAACAAAAAGAACAAAAAAATTCCATCATGAGTAACAAGTGACGTGCACTGAATGCAACTGAAGCTGGCAGCAGGAAAGAGCTAGCACTATACTGTACAGGGATGGGAAATGTAACCCTGTAGGTAACAAAACCAGATGGCCACATTGCATTCTGAAATGTTGCTTTGCTGGGAGCAACCATCTCAGTTCTGGGGTTTCAGTGAGGCATTTTGGGGCTCTCTGCCCTGGAAAAGGCTTTTGGGTTTTTTTTTTAATCAGTCTGGTTAATCTGTACCAGCTGGTGACCGGCCACTGATACTGGAGGTGTCTTCACAGGATGAATAGAGGTTGCTCTGTTCAGCCTGAGATGTCTTGGTTAGTCATCTCAACAGTGACGTCTGGGATTAACTTACTTGGCACTGATGGAAGAGAAACTACAAACAGGCTTGGTATAAGGGGGTACTGTAAATGTTAGGGATTTTGAATTTTTTATGTATTAATAAATTAATAATGTCTTAACACTTTTTCTTACAAAATGTAAAATACGTAAGCTAAATGTTCAGTTAATTTCTATTTCTCAGTTGTTTTGGTCTTAGTGACTAACAAATCCACCTTGGAGTTTGGACTGAAGATCAGTGAAGTTGGTTCTATTTTTGTAATGGTTTTTAGAAACTGTTTTGTAATGTTTGTATGTGTGGAAATTGTTTCAACTTGTTTGTAGTATCAAACGCAATATTAGTTGAGCTGTCTTCCAAACCCCACTTGAGAAGAAGGTCTGATTTGTGTTACAGGAGCACCTGAGTGCCTCAGCAGAGCCCAGCACCTGATAGCTGAAGTGAGGTAGATGTAAATACAATGAAGGGTTGTTCTCCCTGCACACCCTGTGACTTAATTATGTTTAAAGATAAGGTGCTGAAGTGGGTTGGAACAAACAGAAGAAGGGGAAGTGTTTGTGAATTGGTAAACTGTCCTGATTTGTTATTGTATTATTTGAGGAGAGTAGCATTCAGCTTTAATGTCATCATCCTCCTGCCCAGGACCTCTACCTTCAATTCATGTTAAAAGGACCTTTGTCTTGAATTTTGGATACAAGGTGAGGTGGGTGGGGGTTTAGGCACCACAGTGACAGTGTGTACCTTTCACAGGTGTTGTATGTTCACTTGTTTTTCCCGATTGTCTGTGTAACTGAAGTGTTTTGCCTGTCCAAGTTACCTTTTTAAACAAAGTAGTACCTCTTTTATAGCTAGGTAGGACTTCTGATTTCCAGTTCATCTGTGTCACCCGCTGTTGTATTCTCGACTGTTAGCATTCTCCGTACAGCTCAGGATGAGGAGGGAAAAGAAGTGATGGATGTTACCACCTTTGCACAGAACTGTTTGTGTGCTGCAGCTGATTTCAAAGAAATAATGTACTTACTTGAATTTGGCAGCTGTTGTTAAACAAGTGGATCCCTAAGTGCTGCCATACTATATTTTGTGCTAGTGTTATTATATGGCTTTCAGCTAAGACAAGCCTTATCTAAAAGAAAGTCTTTAAAGCCATAGTATTATGCTACCTCTGCATAGGACAGTAGCACAGCTGCAATTCTCCTGTCTGTTGCATTACCAGCAAGAAGCAGGGCTTGTGTTGGATATTGACGGTCTTAAATGCTCAGTTTTACTGACGTACTTCTCCCAGCAAACCTACAACCCCTCTGACCTTTTCTAGACTATTTCTTTCTGGCTGTGCTGATGTGTTGCTGATGGTCCTTTATATGTGGGTAATGCAGATGCACATTGTGTGTTTTGAACGAGGAGCTATAGTGCAATACTAAGATTTTGTGATGTGGATGTTTGAACTGTTTGATGTAAGTAGAGTTCTCAGTCTTTACAACTCAAAGCTCCTGAAAGAAACGTGTTCATGTTTCATGTTGGATATGAACCTAACTTTTTACTAATTCCCCTTTTGTATTTAAAATTATGACTTGCTGCAGTGAATCTCTCATTGTCTTCTAAAATGCTCAATAAAATATGTATCAATTCTTCTTGGTTATTTAAATAAAATCAATTTTGTGAACTACAGCAGTGTGAAGGTTGCGGGAACAGTCACATGTCACCATCTGAAAACCTGTAGTGCAATACATGTGGTCTGGTGCTAAACCTTGAGCAAACTCTTTGGACAGTAGTTACCATTGTGTTCTTTTAATTTTTGTTCTCATAAAACTGTCAGAGCAACATGAATTAGTTCAAAATCAATTTAACCTTTAAAAACTGTTGACAAGACATCAGCACATGATAAATAATATCTATTGTGTGAGTTACTATCTAAAAATTGGCTGCAATCTCAGCGTGTTTGAGATTTTCAGCTGTATCTTGCTGGGTTAAGATGTGTTACTGCAACCGCCCAGCTCAGTTCTACTTGTATTTCAGTGGCACCATTCCTTCTATATTTTGCCCTTTTTGAAAGATGAGCTAGATTCCAATTTAGGTCTTAAAGGAAGGAGTCCATCTTCAGCCTCTTCATCACTACATTATTTCTAGAAACAGTTACATCCATCTGTCTTTTTTAAAAAGAAAAATGGCAATGTTGAGATTCAGGTTTGATCTGGGCTGTCCCTTGTCTGACCCTTGCTCTCTTCATCACTTGGGTATTAATAGTCCTCCAGATGCAGGAGAGTTGTAGCCAGCTCCTCTGCACACTCTTTGCCTTATAACACCAATTAATGGCTCTTGGCTACCTTGTGAGATTTAAAACTTGCGATGCAAAGTGCATTACACAGGGGAGAATGAAAATCTTTATTCTGGTAGCAGATGATGTGCCTCTGAAAGCAGCTGTACCCTGCTGCTTTTCTTCCTCTGCATGTTGTCAGTCCCTTTCAGAATAGAGTATATTGTAGGTCCATGTTTTGTTTCTCTTACTTGGAGCAGTGGGTGGGTTTTTAGTAGGAGTTTTGATGGCAATTTTAGGCCCCAAGCCTAGAGCCCCATTTAATGAGCCTATAAGCAAAGGATGTCCTGGCTGCACTTTGGGAACATGAAAGTAGAAATCAGGTCATGAGGAGTTTTCTGAAGATGGAGGGAGTTTCGAGGTATTTAACCCCCACACCACCACCACTCTGCTGTCTATGGTGGCTCCATCTGTCTGAGTTAAAACTTTCTAAGAAGGAAGCCACTTGGTGTAAATCTTTAATTTTAAATAACATGTCATGTTGCTGTTACGAATAATCAAAATTATACTATTACACCCTATGGACTAATTAGTTATCTAACCTTATCATATCTGTATCGACTAGACTTCCTCAGCAATGTGCAGAAGCCACAGGAAGCTCATTGTTGGTTATTCTTCATTGTCCTGGTTTCAGCTGGGATAGGGTTAATTTTCTTCCTAGTATCTGGTATAATGCTGTGGTTTGGATTTAGAATGTTGATAACACAGGGCTGTTTTTGTTATTGCTGAGCAGGGCTTACACAGAGTCAAGGCCTTTTCTGCTTCTCACCCCACCCCACCAGTGAGCAGGCTGGTGTTGCTCAAGGAGCTGGGAGTGTACACAGCTGGGACAGCTGACCCCAACTGACCAAAGGGATATCCCAGACCATATGATGTCATGCTCAGCATATAAAGCTGGGGGAAGAAGAAGGAAGGGGGGGTACATTTGGAGTGATGGTGTTTGTCTTCCCAAGTAACCATTACATGTGATGGAGCCCTGCTGTCCTGGAGATGGCTGAACACCTGCCTGTCCATGGGAAGCAGTGAATGAATTCCTTGGTTTGCTTTGCTTGTACACATGGCTTTTGCTTTCCCTATTAAACTGTCTTTATCTCAGCCCATGAGTTTTCTCACTTTTACCCTCCCAATTCTCTCCCTAATCCCATTGAGGGGGAAGTGAGCAAGTGACTGTGTGGTGGTTAGTTGCCTGCTGGGGTTAAACCACGACATTCACCCATTAAGAAATGTAAGCTGATTTTATGATGCTGGGTACTGGTTTGATCACGTGAAGGGAAGATGGCATCGAAGCCGCGCACAGCCACCTCCTCTAGAAGTGACAGCTATAAATCCGGGAGGGGTGTAGCTCAGCACCCACGAGCTGGGTGTGGATGGGGGCACCAGCAGAAGGGTGGCGATGTGCTCAGGAGTGCAGGGAGGCTCTGCTGTGTGGACACATGAGGATACTGAGCTGGATCACCAGTCTCTAACTGCCCTATCAAACTTTGTTTGTGTGTCTCAAGAAAGTGAATGCACTGTGTTAATACCTGCTCAGAAATGTGAAAACAGCCTTTTTGGTGACTATGTAAGCTGGCTGTGTGGCCCAACGTGGTGGAAGGGGACTAAGGAAAGAATTGGAGGAGTCTTGTGCAGATGCTTTATCTCGTGCTAATTGCTCTCAATTCACATTGTGTACAAGTCTTGAACGTTCACAGTGATATGATTGCTTCCCTGCCAACCTAAATCAAACTCCACAGGCATCAAAATCTGACTTGTCTGAATTGTTGTAAGGGATTTCATTAATTATAATTTACCTTGATCCAAAAGAACTGTATATCATATGTTAATGGTATATCATATGTTAAAGAAATCTCTATGAACTGTGCGTAAAAAGCAGATGTCTCTACCGAACAGCTTCTGTTATCATGGAAATGCAGTGTATTCTAATGGAATGAAGGAAATTAGGGGTAGTTTGGACTTTACATATACTGAAGGGATTTTTGTCGACCCACCTTTCAGGTTTTTTCTCTGCACCTAGGCTTGTACTGTGGACTTCCTTTCAAAGGCTCACAGGTTCAGCCTTGTTTCTAACCCGTGGATCAAAGCAA